AGTTGCAATTTTGTGTTGACTTACTATACGCCTAGCGGGATAGAAAAGCTTCATGTACGTTTGAATTAAAAAAAAAACTATTTCAAGCAGAATGGTAGTCTCCCTTGGGTCAAGCTAGTGTACTTAGTATAGCTGCAGAGTACTACCACTACTACTAGTACTACTATGACATTTTATTGACAAAAACTTAAGATAACAACTGAGTAAATTAGAAATAGAGAGCGTAGTATAAACGATGCATTACATAATAAGCCACTAGATGGCATAGTCAGTCAAATAAATGATGGTTTCAAAGTCAAATGGTATCGACATCGGCATAACCTCACCAGGGTGGACGTTGCTTGGTGCTTGTACCAATTCTTATTCGGGAAGCTAACCCTTGATCAATAGCTCCATTGAAGTAGTAATTACTAAGCACTGGAACAGACGTCTAGATTTAGTTGTTTGCAACACGCGTTAGCGCCCCCTCAATGAATGGGGCGTGGTAATGATGATAAGCCGATGTTTTTTTTTTAATAGAATAAGTATTTTGTAAGAGCATGTTCCTACCACCGTCGAGCCGACCCATTCGTGCTGCAACCGGAACCGCAGCGTAACTACAGCTATATTAGTAGTATAGCCGTAGCACTTATCGGTGGCTCAACCGGGGAAGACCCACACTTTCACAGAATACCAGCGTAAAATAGCAGAACGCTGCTGTGTTTCGTATGGTGAGTGTTGAGAACCGGAGACCATTTTTACTGATAACAAAGCATTCCATCTTATTCCTCACGGGTAACAACGCATCTGCATTTTGATTCGTATTTGAGGACAGAAATGTGGATGTGTATGGGCCACAGCAACCACTTATAATCAGGTGAAATGTGTGCTATTTTGTCACCTTATCCTATTAAATAGAAAAAAAAAACAACTAACTCGTGTGACCAAAATCATTCTACAAAATTCTGCTGCATCTAAAACGAGACTGAAAACGAGTTTAGACAAAAAGCAAAAATTCCTTTGTTTAGTCAGTTTTAAAATTTTAAAGTTCTCATAAAAAGTGGTCTCGGAAAAACATAGATTTTTATTTTTACTTTTCTGAACATATTGTATATTTTATACTTCAGAGCGAACTCGGTATTCAAGTTAACAAGGTACCCTAACTTATTCAAGATATCATTAAAATGGTGGACGTTTTATGACAGTAATAAATATCAATTAGGTGATATTTTTGCAGCTATTCATTGAGATAAAGTGTAGTCGTGCAATTTGCTGCGTAATAGAGATTTTTTGTTTGTTACCTTAAAATTAGATCATAAGTAAATTTGGTGAGGATATTTGGATATTTTTTACTCAACTTAAGGAAAATGAAAATGAAGACGTTTTTGTTTTCGCGCGGATGGAGCTGCGGATTGAACTTATTTTATTTTTCAACATTAATATTTGTTTTAAATAAATAAGCGTAGTAAATCCTTACCACTAGACTAGGTTGTTTTCGATCTTTTTAACCGACTTCGAAAAGGAGGAGGTACTCGTTAGAGTATTTTACACCATGTTAAAAATCATAAACTATATTTATATATGCTAGGTTTTGCAAAAAAATAAACGAGAAATACTAATTTCTATTCATAAAAATGCATTATAAATTTTATAATTCAACTACAGTTTTTTGTCTCTGCCTCTGTCTCTGCCTAAAACGCTATTCGTCATATTAGATCACGTCTTGACGTCACTCGTTAAGTAAACTAGTTAATGAGCGGTGTATTATTTCGAAATATTTCATGTTATCATCACTGCCTTGTTGGTCTAGTGGTTGTAGTAGTGCGACTGCTGATCATGAGGACCTGGGTTCGAATCCCGGGTCGGGCCAAAAAATTAATTATTGTGTTTTGCCGTCAAGAAATTCTCAGTAGTTGCCCGAAGTCGGGAAGCTGGGCGATATCTCACCTCCGTGCCTCGGAAAGAACGTAAAGCCTTTGGTCCTGCGCCTAATCTCTCTCCGGTCGTGTCGGTTTACATCCTATCGGATTATGAAAGTGAGGGAATAGAGAGTGCAGCTGTGCTTGCGCATACACTTGGGCACTATAATACTGTCCTGCGCCGTTGGCTAGCCTCCGTTGAGGCAGGCCGCCGTGGCCGAAATTCGGTCTGGAGGACATTATTATTATTATTGGGGTATCTATATAATTTTCTCACCTGGTTGGGTTCTATAAATATATAATTATAAATTAAAATAAAAAGATAAATATACATAAATATAATTAAAATAAAATAAATACAAAAATACATAAATAAATAAAAGCCCAGCCAGATGGAGGCCCTCGGCAGGGAAGACCAAACGGCCGAGGGTTAGGGGGAAGGGAAAGAAACCGGCGGAAGATGCGGGCGGTATCGAGGAGCACTGCCTTCTGCATTTGAGCCCGGAGCGGTCCATCACGGAGTCCCAGTCGCCTCAGATGACCCGAGAGGCTGACTGGGATTAGCCCATTCGCAGAGACGACTACAGGAATAATTTCGGCCGGCATTCCACCCCACATACAACCTCGTGAGCCAGGTCCAGATATTTTGTTCGTTTATCTGTTACGGCTTTCACGAGGTTCTCGTCATATGGAATGGTAATGTCAACCAAAAATATCCTTGACTGTGCCCGGTCCATCAGCACAATATCAGGGTTATTCGCAAGAATAGTCCTGTCCGTGATGATGGCCTCCCAGTAGAGCCTGGCGCGGTCATTTTCGAGCACGGCTTCCGGAAAGTATTTGTAATACGGCAATTTCCGGTCCACGAGACCGTATTTCAGAGCGAGCTCCTGGTGTAGAATTCTGGCTACAAGGTTGTCCCTGTGCAAGTACTCAGAGTTAGAAAGCGCCGAACAACCGGAGATGACATGCCTAAGTGACTCCCCAGGATGGCGATAAGCTCGACAGACGTCGACAGTGCCATCCTTTAGGATGTATCTCCGATAGTTGTTGGTCTTAATAACCTGATCCTGTATTGCACAGACAAAACCCTCGGTTTCCCCGAAGAGGTCACCGAAACGTAGCCAGTTGAGGGAGGTGGCTGTATCTACGTGGGGCTCATGTAGAGCCCTGTAGTACCTCCCGTGGAGCTCTTTCTTCTTCCATACGGTCTTCCGGTCGAAAATGCTCTGTACTGCCGGGTCTTGACATTGCTCGTTGGCTAAGGATAGAGGGGTAAGTCCTTTATCACTAAAAATGACGTCATTATAGATTGGATCATCCGATCTCGCCAGAAAGTAATGACAATTATGAATGGTGATCGCGCTCAGGAAGCCACGCCTACCATGCTTTCGCAGCAAGTACAGCCTTATTACGGACGATCTCGGATGATGCATCCTATGCAACGTCATTATAGTGCGGACTTTTCTATCCAGGGCATTAAGTTCAGTCTGACTCCACCTGAGTATGCCAAAGGTATACATGAGGACAGGCATGACCCAACCGTTAAATGCATGTGTCTTATTCACGCCGGACATAAGGCTGTTAAGCACTTTGGTCAAGCGTGCATAAAATACGTCGCAAACTGACTGTTTCATACCAGCCTCATCGATACTGATGTTTTGTGACATACCCAAGTATCGGTATGTTTCAGTCTCGGAAAGGATCCTTAAATTGACGGGCATGGATAATTCTATGCCCTCAGAGTTAGCAACCTTCCCCTTTCAACATGAAGGACCGCACACTTATCCATCCCCAGCTCCATTCTAATATATGTAATTGCTAAATTCACAAGTGATGTTTAGCAATTCCATAAGATGGGAGCGACTGGAGGCGAATAATTTGAGGTCATCCACATAGAAAAGGTGGGTCACTTTTGTACCTCCTTTCCGAAGCTGAAAACCCCTCCCGGAGCCCTCCAGTGAAGTACTGAGAGGGTTCAAAGAGAGGCAGAACCAGATTGGACTCAGACAGTCGCCCTGGAATATACCCCTTCCTATCCTTATGCGGCTATCCGCAGCCGTCATCCGCTCTCCTAGATGACAGAGGATCGTACTCCACTGCCCCATACACTGCTCGAGGAAGTCTCGAACTGTACAGTCAATCTTGTAAAGCTCGAGGACCCTCTTTAGCCATGTATGGGGCACCGAGTCAAATGCCTTTTTGTAATCTATCTAGGCGGCGGAGAAGTTCCGACGGTTGCGTTTCACCACTTTGCCAATTACCACGTCAACAAGGAGTGGTTCCTTGGTTCCACGACCACCCCGCCCCCGACATCCATTTTGCGCGCGCAAAACCACCTGATTTGAGTCCAGGTGACGAGCGATTCTCGCGCTCAAAATGGATGTTAGTGTCTTGTATATTGTCGGTAGAGACGTGGGGCGGTATTTGCTCGGGTCTGTGGCACCCTGATCTTTAGGAACCAAATGAGTGATCCCAGTAGTGAAGAGGCTTGGGAGCGACTTCTGGTTGAGAGCCTCTTGAAACTGTCGGGCGAGCACAGCGTGACACACCATGAACCACTTCAGCCAGTAGTGGTGCAGCCCGTCAAGCGCCGGACTTTTCCAGTTCGGGGCCCTACGGACCGCCTCAGCTACGTCATCCGGCGTTATGATGACGGGGTTCATTGGCGTAATACCCGCACTCTGACTCGCCACAACTTCCGTCCAAGGGCCCTCGTTGTGGTTTACGGGCTCTGACCACAGGCTGCGCCAGAATGCGACCGTGTCGGCCTGATTTGGTGCTGGGCCCGTTCCACTTACCATTGGTCGCTCCAATGATTTATAGAGCCTCTTCTGATCACTCTGGAAGAGACGATTCTGGTTGAACCGTGTCAACCTCTCGGTATATCGCCGAATCCGCTTTCCCCAAGCAGCGGTTCTTTGCTTCAGGTCGTCTATGTGCTCCGTCGGTTTTTGCATTATATCGGCTGGGACAAACTAACATTTGTTCCAGCAAACGCCATCCTGACGGTGCGCACAATCCTTGGCCTGGTATTGCCTGACCTGAAGCATATCAGTCTGCCGATGAGGGCCCTATCCTTTGCGATACGTTCTTCAATTCTTATTCTCCAGGCTGGGATAGCACTACTTTGTCCGGTAGCGCGTCCAGCTGTGGAAATTTGGTGCCTATAATACGGCAGACTGCCAGTGTGGCGCCAAAAAGAATTGAGTCCGTCTCGCAAAGGTCCCGGCTGGCTTCCAAATAGGTAACCAGCATTGGGTTCAGAGCCCTCACGATAGCCCGATCCCGCTTGCTTAGGGCTATGCGGGGAAGTCGCGGTCGATTCTCGAGAGGCGTACTGCGCATTTCCATAATCGCATCTTCTACTGTACTCCTCATTTGCTCTAGTTCCAGTTCCTGGGCGACTGTTCCATCATCGTTTGAATCTACCACAACTGGGTTATTCACGGCGGCATCTACATTTGCCGTTTGCTCAGCAAGTTGTGGCGCCGCATCCTCAGCCGCAGCATTTTCACCCGATGAAGGAACAGCCTCACGTCGTAGCCGTTCCAGTTCGGTGACATCAACTGTATTTGAGTGCAAGATATACCGCACTCTGTCTGCCAGGTTTTACTCGGTGACGGTTACAGATAGCTCCAGCTCAGCAAAAAGTCGATGCATCCTTGCCCGATACGCAAAACCTCCAATTTCTCCCCCTATCGCTCTAAAATACGCCCGCAATGCATTGCTGTTCATCTGGGTTTTCCAACGCATGCGGCGTACTCCACCAGTGACGGGTGCCGATTGCTGGGCCCGCGAAGACCCTGCCGTAACCAAGCCAGCTGGTGGGAATGATGAATGCGGATGCTGGGTGGTCGTGCAGCACCTCGCGCTCGGCTGGCGGTTCGCACGCTGTCGCGTCCAGCGCCAGCTCCAGACGCGCCCTGGCGACCTCCTGGCAGCGGCCCTTTGCGCGTTCTATTTAATTCCATCATCCATTTTTGAGGGCGTCATTTAGCGGGAGACGCCCAGACCCGGCGCCGTTTCATGGTGAGGCCATGTGCACAAGCGGGCCTTTGCATCTTCAATTTTGTCGAGGCACGGCACTAACACCTCTTGGCAAGGTGCTGACTGACTGCGCTGACGTAGCGGTTTTGTCACATGTCGTTACGTCAGCGAGCGATGAGGTATTATTATTATTATTGTTGCATTTTATTCCGAATTTTATTTAAAAGGCATCATGGAAGACGGATCTAAAAGCAGAAAGTACTAGTCTACCATGGATATATACATTGATGGTGGCAAAATTTTTTGCGTACAATCATGATTTATGTTCTGCCGAGTTGAGAAATGTTAAAACACCAATGTAAATACCTATTACCAGCTTTTGTTTATACATTTACACAAAACCAGGTCAGAATGTATTTTGATAATACATAGTTATGTTTATCTATGTTTTAAATAATTAGCACTCATTAGTATATCTAAGATAACCGTAAGATAACCGATAAAAAAGGACGTGTGAAAAATTTATTGCAAAGTTTAACATTATAGAACTTTGTAATTCATACTTTATCGTCTTGCGGGTAAGTGTGAAAATAGTGTGTGTTGCTGTAACAGTGACGTATTGTGGCCATATGGCCGCTTCTTCACTCGGATCATTTTCTCTGTTCTATTTTGGCATCACTTCTTGGACTCGTTGCAGCGGGGCGTGCATACTTCACCCCCCCCCCCTAAGAAAGGACAGAGAAAATTATTTGTTTTTGTCATACACACGAACTAATACAATGCAGCGTACTCCACAACCAACAACACCTCCGGCACAGAGGCTAAAATATTCGTCAAATCCAGAACTACCCGAAACGTGTGGCGCTGATGATAATGTATACTTTTGTGAGTCTCCGAAAACGCAAGCAGCCTGATAATAAAAATGTTAAGGCGGTACTAGAGTTCGTTGAACAAAAAATTTATGTACTCAGTTCATGGAAATTACAGTTGGACATCACCATTGCCGAAAGTATCTGAAATTCAATCGATACAGTTATTGATAGAGAGCTGAAGAAAATATCAGCGACTGTAAGTAACTCTTTTAAAGAGTTAGGATATAGATTGGATACAATCGACAAATCCTTATCTTATACAATGGAAAGGCAGGATAGTATTGAAACGCGTCTGACACAGGTAGAAAGCCAGTTGAGATCGAGCGATGATGTAACCAGTCAGGTTAACCTATTACAAGATAAAATTAATGCAATGGAGCAACAGGCACGGCTTTATAACGTTGAGATTGCTAATTTACCAGAACGATGTAATGAAAATCTTCTATCTATTATTGAGAAGATTGGTTGTATCATCAAACACCCTGTCAGCAAATCGGACATTGTATCAGCCCATAGAATGCCACAATTTGATAAAAAGTATTCGCGCCAAAAAAATGTGATTATAAAATTTACAACGAAAATAATCCGCGACAACTTCATCACGGCAGCACGGGTAAATAAATGTTTAAAATCTGACCAATCTGACCTGGTACTATACATAACGTACATACATAAACGAACATCTTACAGCTAAAAACCAGCAATTATTTCGATTATGCCGTCAACAAGCCGCTAAGAACAATTATAAATTCACAGAGGCATCTCCTATTTTGCTGTACGAAGCGAGCAAGACCTCAAGAAAAGTAAGTTATCTTTTCTACTGATGTTGTTTTGTCTTAGCTATACTTATATAAATAATGAATGTTCAACCATGGGATTATCGGGTGAATATACTATTTGTGCATGTTTACTAAAATTAAACTCGTTATCTACAGATATGTGTCAAGTAGGAGAAATAAAATATATTTTTTACTGGTTACTATTTAAACTTATTTATATTACTAAAGTAAGGCGATTCTGGCATGCAATAACCTATAATAACCACAATCTAAGTAGTCTTTTATAAAATTTGAACCATCTTTTACTAACAACACATAATATTGTTATATTCAAAAATGGATAAGAATATTTCTATATATTAACAGAATTGTCGTGGTCTCAGAATCAAATTACATACACTTTTATGAACATACTCAATCATACGATATAATAATACTAACTGAAACGTGACTGCATGCAGACATAACCGATAACGAATACATAGACAATAGGTATTACGTATTCCGTGCGGATCGAGATCGAGCGGGAAGCGGCCGCCGTGATGGAGGTGGCGTGGTCGCGATCCAGCGCACACTGTGCTCTGCCCCTCTGCCAGTGCCGGCTGCGCACCTGCCACTATGACATCCTCCTCGCTCCCACCCGTTATCGACCAAATACTCATCGAATTTAAAGTTGCGAAAAAGTGTTTCTTTATAGGTTCAGTTTACATACTGCCAAAATAATGCCATGAGGTTTATCTTAGTTACTTAAATATGTTACAAAATAAGTTGCTTGACGTGAATACTAGTGTAACAGATTATTTTATTGTTGGGGACTTTAATTTACCTGACTTAGTTTGGATGAATAATGAGTCCCATGGGCAATATCCTTGTATCAGCGTTCTTAACCAATCTCACATACAAATAAATAATTTTAGGGCGGAATTAAATTGCTATCAATTAAACTTCTTAAGAAACGACAAAGACCGTATTTTAGGTCTTTTTTTTCACTAATAAAACTGACTGTGAGTTGTAATCGATATCAAATGCATTAGTTCCTGCGGATAAACATCACCCACCTTTTTGTGTGTCGGTTGCGTATGATGCTAATCATTGATACATCCGGTTTAAACCGTATCTCAACTACTGTTACAGAAACGCGGACTATAATGAAATTATGCAAAAATTAGGGAATATTGATTGGGATGTCTTATTTTTAAATAAAAGTGCTGAAGAAGCGGTTTCATTATTTTATGAAAAACTACAATATTATTAATTTACATGTACCCAAAAAATCCTGCTTGGTTTACTCCTGAATTAATTAATATATTCAATAAAAAAATCGAGCTGGGGTTAAAATGAAAAAATATAACAATAATTCAAATTAAAGAATTTCCAAAGAAAGCATGGTGAGCGTGGCTTCCTGAGCGCGCTCACCATGCACAATCACGAAGTGTGCAGTCTCCTTAATTACTTTCTGGTGAGATCGGATGATCCATTCCATAATGACGTCATTTCCAGTGATAAAGGACTTACCCCTCTATCCTTAGCCAACGAGCAATGGCAGGACCCGGCAGTAAAAAGCATTTCCGACCGGGAGACCGTATGGAAGGAGAAGGAGCTCCACGGGAGGTACTACAGGGCTCTACATGAGCCCTTTGTAGATACAGTCGCCTCCCTCAACTGGCTACGTTTCGGTGACCTCTTCGGGGGAAACCGAGTGTTTTGTCTGTGCAATACAGGGTCAGGTTATTAAGACCAACAACTATCGGAGATATATCCTAAAGGATGGCACCGTCGTCGTCTGCCGAGCTTGTCGCCATCCCGGCAACTTAGGAATGTCATCTCCGGTTGCTTTCTAACTCTGAGTACTTGCACAGGTACAACCAAGTAGCTAGAATTCTACACCAGGAGCTCGCTCTGAAATACGGTCTCGTGGACAGGAAATTGCCGTATTACAAGTACTCGAAAATGACCGCGCCAGGCTCTACTGGGACCGGGCCATCATCACAGATAGGATTATTCTTGCGAATAAGCCTGATATTGCGCTGATGGATCGGGCACAGTCAAGGATATTTTGGTCGACATTACCATTCCATATGACGAGAACCTCGTGAAAGCCGAAACAGATAAACGAACAAAATATCTGGACCTGGCTCACGAGATGACCAACATGTGGCGTGGTCTGCCGACCGAAATTATTCCTGTAGTCGTCTCTGCAAATGGGCTAATCCCAGTCAGCCTCTTGGGTCATCTGAGGTGACTGGGAATCCGAGACGGACCGCTCCGGGCTCAAAAGCAGAAGGCGGTGCTCCTCGATACCGCCCGCATCGTCCGCCGGTTTCTTTCCCTTTCCTCCTAACCCTCGGCCGTTTGGTCCCCAACCAGATGAGAAAATTATATAGATACCCCAAATATATATATATATATATATATATATATATATATATATATATATATATATATATATATATATATATATATATATATAATTTATAATATATTTTCAATATATAGAAAAAAGTTTAAAACATTATCAGAAAAATGCTACAAAACTTACATGGCGAAGGTTGAAAATAGCATAAAATATAACAGTAAATACTTTTCGAAGTTCATATATCAACGCCGTAACGTTTCACAGATCCCAAGTAGTGTACAATATAAAGGTTCTATTGCTCATAATCCAAAATAGTCTCGTGATCTATTTAGCAAGTTCTTTCAATCTGTGTTTCAACGATCATCTGTACCACATGATTTCGATATTGATGATATTTGCACACCACTTGAAAATACATCTGACTTTACTATTCATAATATCAAAGTGACTAGATTTCAAGTACGTAAAGCCCTGCAAATGTTAGATATATCGAAGGGCGATAACATACCAGGTGTTTTCTTCAAAGAAACTGCATCTGCAATCGATCTTCCTTTGTGCTATCTTTACAATAAATGCTTATCTGATGTAACATTTCCTGACATTTGGAAAAGTGCAAGAATAGTCCCAGTTTTCAAGGATGGTTCAAAAAGTGACGTTATGAATTATAGGCAAATATCAATACTGCCCTTCTTTCTAAAGTTTTTGAACGTTTGATGCATGATGCTATTTACGCTCTATTGCATAATGTTATCTTAGATAAACAACACGGTTTTGTTAAACGGCGATCTACAATAACTAATCTTATCACTTACACATCAGATTTGTTTAGTGCGCTTGACACCTATACGCAAACTGACAGTATTTATACTGATTTCCGGAAAGCATTTGATACTGTTGATCATAAAATACTATTGGAGAAGATTGCTTTCAATGGTATACGCGGCAATCTCTGGCGGTGTTTCAAGTATTATGTCTCTAATAGAACGCAGAGGGTTGTTATTAAAGGTTTGGAGTCCGATGTTGCTAATGTCACTTCTGGCGTCCTACAGCGCTCCATGTTGTTTCTTCATAAATGATGTTAAAAATTGCTTTAAAAATAGTCGGTTCTTATTATATGGTGATGATCTCAAAATATACCAATGCATCGATAGGATAGAGGATCACTATTTGCTTCAAGAAAACCTTGACAGATTTAGCAATTACTGTGCTCTTAATAATTTAACATAACATAAACACTCACGCCTGTCACCCAGAGGGGTAGGCAGAGACTACAGACTTCCATTTGGCACGATCTTGACACACCTCTCTCGCCTCCTTCACATCCATACACCTACGCATACATGCTCGTCGGTTAAGGGTACTCCTAATTTGGCCCGTTTTCAATAAATCGCCAATTTGGTCGATAAATTTTCGCCTAGGACGTCCCTTACCGACTCTGCCATTCACTTCTGCAACATAAATTTTCTTTGTCACTCTTTCCTCAATCATTCTTTCCACATGACCAAACCACCGAAGCATTCCTTTCTTAATCCTGGTCACATCATCATCTTGCAAACCACACTCTTCTCTTATTACACAATTTCTTACCCTGTCGTTCAGATTCAGCCCTAACATACTCCTTAAGGACCGCATTTCTACTGCGTTGATTCTACTCTCATGCTTCTTCTGCCACACCCAACTTTCACTACCATACGTTAAAGTAGGGACCAACACAGCATTGTGTATTGCCATACGTGCCTTTTTTGACACATTTTGACTCTTCACAATAGAGTGCAGGGCCCCATTTACTCTATTTCCCGCATTCACTCGTCGTTCTATATCCTTATCATATCTTCCATCCCTGCTAAATACGCAGCCCATATATACAATCTCATCTACTTGCTCGATCAACTCCCCTTCTATTATTATTTCACAAATCGTTTTACTTTCTTCTCTTTCAAAAACCATAACCTTCGTCTTACTTGCGTTCACCTTCATACCCCTTTCTTTTAATGATCTGTTCATTAATGTAACCATCATTTGCAACTCGGCCGCCGACGACGCAAGGATAACTTGATCATCGGCGTACAAAAGGCATTTGACGGTTAACTCACCCATTCTTAATCCGCATTCTTCAACTTTCAAATTTTGCAAACAACTGTCCATAAATAGGTTGAACAGCCACGGGGAAGCCACACAACCCTGTCTGACACCTTTATGGATGTCAAACCAGTCCGAGTAGACCCCGTTGATCCTAACACAAGCACTAGAGTCCCTATAAAGAGACTCCAATGCCTGTATCAAGCCAGCGCTCAACCCAAATGAGTTCAGTGTTTGCCATAGCACATCCCTATCCACTCTGTCAGACTAAAAACTAAAGACTCAATTTAAATAAATGTAAAGTAATAACTTTCACAAAAAAAAAACCGGAATATAAGCTACTTTAACTATTCTCTTAACGGTGCAGATATTGTAAGGGTGAATAATATAAGGGATTTGGGAGTAACTTTTGATAACAAATTACATTTTGATATTCATATACAAAACATAATTAGTAAAGCTTTTAAAATGTACGGATTT